ATTGGAATATCTTGGAATTTTTCTAAATTGTGCTTAAGGACCTGAGCTACAAGTAGGGTTGCCAGATTTCAGCCTTGGCAGGGAAATGGTCCAGTGAGCATTCAATATGCCTTCAAAATAACTTCCAACTTTTTCTGCTATGTTATTGTTATTGTAAAATAGTTCAATAATTTTCTTTGGTTTGTTTTGTTTGTTTTCACATTGTTCTTTATATTTTCTATGAAAACATTACAGGATACACTATAAGTACTAATATATTTTCTTGTCTATGTCCTAGTAACATATATAAATCTATAAGAAAACCAGTGATTTATTCCTGTCTTCTGTAGGCCTACTGATGCATAAAACAGATGAAAAAGCATTTTAATAGCGTTTTGAAAGTTGCTGTAATTGAGAAATAATGGGTTCACTTATTTTTTTATCTTGAATCCCACCATAGCTTTGCCTCTACACAGGCTGGGTCTTAATTCACGTACTACTGTACTAAATAGTATGTTTAAAATAGTAACAACACCATGGGTGGTGTACAACTTAGTACAGCATATGCTGTTTGAGGCCCGGCTGTGGAAAGCACTTGCCCTGGCCTTGTGTGGTGATGTGATCAATGTGATTGGTTAAACATATGTGTGTGCTAGAGAGAGATGTGATATGGTTTGAACAGCATGGTATCTACTCCAACAAATGTCTTGCACATTTTAAAGGAAAATGCCAGTCATTATTCTAAATTTCTGTATAATTAAACAGATGTAAACATTGTTCGCTGTGTAATTACTCACAGCGCTGATCATAGGAAAAGAAGTGTTTAATGCCTCACAGAAAGTTGCTGCCTGACGTCTGAGACATTGTATTACTATTGTTTTGAGATTTTAGCCTAAAATGTCTTTTTAAACATCCATTCATAGCAGAGAGGTACATGCGGGGTGCTGTGAGGCCAATAGTACCCAGCATACTGGCTTTGGAAAAGAAAACTTTTCAGATTTTCGACTTGATCATCATCAACATTACATATAAAACTTAGAGGACACGTATGTGTTCACATATGGTTTGGGATACTAAATAAATAAATACTTTATTTGTGTTGTAGACATCAAGACTCCTGGTTCCTATCACCTCCACTGTAAGGAAATCTTAGTCTGTATGTGCACCATTTCACAGCAAACCACTCCGAATCTCTTTGCTTATACCTAAAACACTGAATTATGCAGAATTTCTAAAAAATTCCCTTTTGGTCAACAGTACTAACTGGACAATGAAGCTTAAAACTAGATTGTCTGGTCGAACATGTGTAGGACAAGTAGTTAAGTAATAAAAGCTTTTAACTCAACAATGAGCATGATGCAAACTGCATACCTAAAAACACACTTGCCTCAAATCAAGTAGGGTTCTTAAGTAATCTCAGATAGACTTTCTAAAACACTACATTTGGGGTTGGGGTAAAATTGTGCCACACTACAGCTCTGGCCTTGCATGCACTTTGATAATTATAATGGCACATGGCCTGTTCTCTGATGGATCTTTACCACCTTCTGCACCTCTGACTGGCATCATTCACTTGGGAGCACATTCACTGTAGGCCACACTGTCAGAGGCCACATCACATGCACTCTCCGAGACTCTGTCCAGTCTCAGCTATGACAGCATGAATGCTCGGACCAGCTCGACGCGGCGCAATATAAAGCAGCCCATTTAGATTCTCAGATTCTTGTGCCGAAATTGTATCCTGTTTCCACCAGAATAGAAAGAAAGGGGGAAAGAAAACTGCCTCTCGGTGGGCTAAAAGGGACGGACGAGATTAAGAGCCCTTCCTCAAAGATGCTCTTTCAGTTTTCAGTGAGGGCAGGACGGAGAGACTGTCCGGCATGCCTGACCTTTGACACGATTTGGAACAGTCGCTGCATGTCCACAGAGACACGCAGCAGAACAAAAAGAGAAAAAAATGCTTGAAATGGCTTTGAAGGCTGAGGCTGTGGAGTTCCATCACCATATGACTGAATCAGATGCTACAACCTACAAATATGCCCTCAGCTGAGCGCCACAATGGGGATTCAGTTCTCCGGAGGTTAGCACCAGACTATACAGCAGCGGCACACAATGGACTTCTGTTCTGAAAATGCTAAAATGTTGTTTGCTACTTCTCTGTATAACCGAGGAGCGGGTTGCTGTGTAAATTAACTTCGTCCTACGTCTTATGTAATTTCGTGAAAAAAAGGGGGGCGTTACTTCACTTCAGGCCCCTTCTACTGTCTTAAGCAACTACTCTGAGCAAGGGCCAAGGAGCCATGTTTCAGTTTTCAAATGTTGCACAAGACTGGAGTAACTTTTGCATTAAATGTACAGTTTACATTCTGCACAGTTGAAAATACACAGTCATTCATACTGAAAGAGATAAACTGGCCTTTGCAATAGAAGGAAAAACAATCTCATTGAAAAATTGTATGACTAAGCAGTGAAGAGTGAGACACAACTTTCTGTTCTCCTATTAACCCACAGTAGGCCTCAGGAAACAGGATCTAAGAACTACTGCCTTCGATTGCCTTAAACTATATACAGAGCCTCTCGGTCAGCCTTCAGTCTTGTCCATAAATGAACTTACAATCTATACGTATATGTTTTGGGTAGCACTTTACTGTAGGGTGCTGTTCATAAGGCTACATGGCACCTACATAGGGTTGTCATGACAACTGACATAACCCTACAAAACTGTTCATAAATGCCTATTACAACAGGCATCATCTGTCAAGGCTACTTTAGTGGACTTTGACTAAAATTGGCCAATTTAACCTTTATAGCAAATGACTAGTATTGGAATAAGCATTTATAAACAGTTATGTAGGGTTATGTCAGTTATCATGACAAGCTTTTATAGGTGTCATGCAGCTATATGAGCAGCACCCCACAGTAAAGTGTTACCATGTTTTGTATTATGTCAAAACAAGAAGGCCGCTATTTAACAATTTCAGAGTGGCAAAAACATAGAAACCTGCATTAAAGAGCAATTTCACCATTTTTTAAAATTTAATATTTAAACCCTTTAGTTGTAAACAGTCGTTCAGAGTGGTTTGGTGTGAAATGTTCCTTTCTGGAGAAACTTTCTGAGTCAGAATTGTTCCTGGTAATAGGAACCAGACGTCCAAAATGTTTGACTGCTCTAAAAAACTCCCTTACAGAAAGTTATTACATGAAATGGCAACGAATGCATGAGGCATAGTTTTAAAAAAAGCTTTTGACCTAAAACCTAGTGGTCTAAGAATACTTATATTACCAGATTAACCACTACTTTTCCATTATCAGTATTACATATAACAGAAGACGTGTGGGTTCACTGGTCATTTTGGATAGTGAATAAAATGGCTATATTTGTGCTGACCTCTGGTTCCTATCACCACCACTGTAAAAAATCTGTCTGTAAGTTTCATTACGATGAACCATTTTACCATCAAACCACTCTGAATGACTTTGTTTACATCTGAACAGTTGAATTACAAAGAAATTTAGAAATAATGGTGGAATTCCCCTTTCATCTACATATTCACCATGCTGCCACGCATGCTGTAATCCCAGAAAAGAGAATTATAGTCTCAAACGAAACTTTCCGACTGTTCTCTTGGCATTTGGATCAGACCTTTTCACATCACCCATGATTGTCAAACCATGGAAAACAGGCTTAGTGGCCTAATCGGTAAGTAAGGTTTTTGAGTCAGAGAGTCCACTGCAAGGTTCAGCATCTTCTCCTCCTTCTGCGCCTATTTAAAGAGTGGTTTGCTCACATAATCCAAGTGCTGATCATAGCTGTCCTCTCTGGCTATGATTCAGTCGATGTGGCTCCCCTGGTGGAAGTGTTTGCTGCTCTGTGTTGAGCTGAAAGACACATTACACACTATCTCTGGGGTATGTTTTGGACATGATTGCTTAAAAATGGCTGACGACTGAGAGCCAAAACTGCTTTAAAAAGGCAAGAGGTGAGAACTAGCTCAGAGTTAAAGAGGAACTCCACCAGTTTTGCAAAATGTCTGCATAATTAAATGATTAAGATGTAAAAACAGAGTCATTCAGAGTGGTTTGATGAGAAATGCTAAGCTGTAGAGAAACTCATGAGTCAGAATTATTCACAATGGTGGTGATAGGAACCACCCGTCCAAAATGTTTGACGCCTCCAAAACATAAAAACAGGGTTTTGGCCTAAAAAACACCACATCCTTGGTGGAGAGGCATGTTGTAAGCCAAAATAGCTCCCAAAAGTAAACCTTTTCCCCCAAATCTACTACTATTTTAACACGATAAACATTGCATATAAAACTCAGAAGACACTGGTCATTTTGGACATTGGCTATTACAGTGTTATGCATATGTGATGACTCCTCGTTCCTATCACCACCACTGTAATGAAATCAGAGTCAGTGAGTTTCTCTACAGTGCACACACATCAAAGCATGTTGTTTACGTCTCCGATTTGGACAGAAATGCTTGAAAATCACCCTTTAAGGTCTGCTAAGGTTGTTTAGAAAGTTGTAGAAACGTTTGGACCCACAAAAAGGGGAAAAAAAATAATGTTACCACATAAGTATGACAAGAATTTACCAGAAAGCGTCACGGTATTGCTCAAATATTAGCTTTACGTGTGATTACAAGCCCTCAAAGTGAGCTAAAGTGGAGTGAACCAGCCACCACAGTGAAAAAATAAAAAAAAATAAAAAAATATAATAAAAAAGCAGAAGCAGAGAGAGAGAGAGAGAGAGAGAGAGAGAGAGAGAGAGAGAGAGACGGACTACACGAGACAGAGCGAGGGAGCGAGAGAGCGCAAACCGCTTATATATGGGTCTAAAAATAACCGCCCAATCAGTGCGCAGGGCCGGACGCTCGAACGGACCAATGGAGGCGAGCTGATCTGCATAACGCTCTACGATTGGCTCACGGTGATATCATTTGCGTCCGCACAACCTGTTGGCCCGCCATTGGTGGGACTGGTGAGGAGGCGGGGCCGACGAGACTGCGAGGTTTGAATAGAGAAGAAGTTTGACAGAGCGCGGCTCTTCTTCCAGCTGAAGTTCGGCGTCGCTGCTGTGGTGGCCAATGTGAGTGAGGGAGCGCGCGAGCGAGTGAGAGAGAGAGAGAGAGCGAGTGTGTGAGAGAGGGAGGGAGAGATCTCCACAACACACACGCGCACGCACACACACACACACACACACACTCAGTGGAGCGACGCTTCTTCACTGCTTTGCTGTTGCATGTGCGAGACAGACGCGCGTACGAGACGAAGACGAAGAGGGAGAAGAAGGAGAAGGACACGCTCGCTGCTGTCAGACACCGTGGTGTTGACAGGAGAGCACGACTAGAGAACGGGAGAGAAGACCTCACAACTTCTTCCAGCGCGTTTTTTTCTTTCTCCCTTTTCGGGTGGGATTTTGCCATGGATGTGCTACCGATGTGCAGCATCTTTCAGGAGCTTCAGATTGTCCACGACACGGGCTATTTCTCAGCCTTGCCCTCGCTGGAGGAGTACTGGCAACAGGTAAATGTTTCTCTCATTGTATTGGACGTCACTTTCTTGCAGAAGCTCGTTTAGACGTTTCTGGGAGCGATAAAGAAGCTTAAGCTGGCTTGTCAAATAAGAATTCCCCGTTCCACCTTAAATTCTGCAGCAGTTGACGTTCTGGCGCCTGAGGCTGAGACGCCAGAATGGTAGCTGCTGCAGCATTTAAGGTGGAACGGAGAATTCGAATTCTAACAAGCCAACTTCGCCCTCGTGTTGGGGTTTAGGAGTAAGTGAGGCAGTCAGTGAGTGGTCTGATCTGTGCTGGTGGGCTGGTCCTGCAATAATAAAGCAGTGGTTTCTGCGCAGGAGCCTGCAGCTGTGGTGGTAACTTAGTAACGACGAGGGGAAACGCTGTCAAAGTGCAAGTCAGTGTCGCCTCCTCCCGCTGATAGTTGGAGCGGGCGAAGTAGGTTACTGTATCAGTGAACCTCGTAGAGTTACAGAGTGTAGTAATGCCTTTTACGCTGTTTCCTTCACGCTGCAGCTCAAGTTGAGATAAAAGCAAAGCAGAAAACATGTTAAAAGGCTCTGTTAGTCCTAATATTAGTGCCTGATTGTGCTAAGAATGGTCACAAAAATAATCTGGCTGCTAAGTGAAGGTCTGTTTGTCTTCTGTTTTGGCGGATACACATGCCCATAGGAAATCAATGGCACATGAAATATGAAATAACACCCCAACAGGAGGCTGGCTTTAGCCTGATAGCGGTGTGACAGGCAAATATGTGACGTGCTTTTTTTCCCTTGAGAATGTTTCATGATTGAAATCCAGCCAGGTAGTAATCCCTCAGGCGGTTGAGGTTCTCGGAGACGAGCCAAGAGCCAAGCACTGTCTCAAATGTGTTCATACTTGCATCCCCAGTGGTTAAAGACCCTGGGAATGTGCTGTTCTTCTCACCCACCAACCCCCCCACCCCCACCAAACCTTCCATCACCTCTTGGGCAAGCAGAATTGGAGAACATTGTAGAACACTGGAGAACATTGGTGAACTGGACGGTATAGTGGAGAGGAGACAGCATTCGTGCTGAGAGTAGATGTTAAGTGGTGCTGCATTTGAAGTCACCACCTCACCGCTGCTGGGGGTACTTCTGCTAAGAAGAGCAGCTGCTCATTTCAAACCAGCAGTTGGTTGGGGTTTCGTGAGCACCGGGGCTGCCTGAATGAGGAAACTCAGCATAACCAGAGCAGAAGGAAGTGCTGTGGCTTCCTTAAAAGGACTCTAAAGCGAGTGCATGACTCACTCGGCCACTGTTAACCGAGAGAATAAATGTTAGTCTTTCAGAATGAGGCTCTGCAACGCAAGCTTAGGCCAAGCTAAATTTGGACACAATCAGGCTGAGAGCACCATAATTGGATTTTTAGGTGTGTTAAACGTCCAATAACACTTTGACATGCGGAATGATGCAGTTTCTGTTCAGAAAAAATGACTTATCATTAGATGTTTCAGAAAATTCTGTCAGTCAATGCTGTTTTTCCCCCAAGGCAGAACTCAATCCAGAGCTAAAGAACACTTTCAGACTCACTGTCAGATATTGCAAGAGACAGAGGCAGGGATTTGGCATGATATGTGCATGGAAATTGAACTTCCTTCGCTTTAACCCAGAATGAGAGGTGGTGGAAACATTGTTCCTTATTAACACTAAAAGGGAAATGGCTTTAAGTGTGTTATAATTGTATGACTACATATTAAGCAGAGTGAATTTTAATGGTAGACAAATGCAGCATTGAGAGTCTTGCCTAAGCACTTCTTGCTATAGCATTGGCATTCCTGTTCTTCCCTGAACGAGGAATTGTACCACTGGTCTTGCTAATGATGCTCTCCACTATAGTAATGCCAAATATAAGGAGCCCTAACCACGTGTTCTATGTTCCATGGCAGACATGCTTGGAGTTGGAGCGCTACCTGCAGAGCGAACCTTATGTCTCAGCATCCGACCTGAAGTTCGAGAGCCAAGAGGACCTCTGGAGCAAACTGATCCTGGCATGCGGGGACTCAAAGGGTGACCTGGACTCAAACGCGAACCTCGTGCGGGTCAAGGAGGACCCAGACAATCAGGACAGCCAGGCCCTGGAGACCAACAGCGTCAACTCGGATGCCAGCAGTGAGGCTTCGGACAGCTCTGAGGAGCTCTCACCCACTCACAGCTTTAGCTCCAACCCGCTGGGCTCGGTGCTGGCTGAGACGGGACACTTGGGTTCGTCCATCATCGCCACGCCTCCGTCCTCTCCGGAGGCGCTGCAGGAGCCCAGCGTGGCGCAGGTTTGGGGGTCCATACAGACTGAACTGCCCCTGCCCGTTAAGATCAGACACGGGGGCATGGCCAAGGTTTCGGGCACGGATAAGTCGGGTTCGGCCGGAGGGGACGCGTCTCCGGACGGGAGGAGGCGAGTGCACCGGTGTCACTTCAACGGCTGCCGGAAAGTTTACACAAAGAGTTCTCATTTAAAAGCACATCAGCGCACTCACACAGGTAAGAACGCACTGCTTTTAGTTTTGTTTTGCTCTTTCTTTCTTTCTTTCTCTTTCTTTCTTATTCACATACTTTCCCACAGGTAAGATGAATGAGAGCGCAACGCTATCTGCTTTAATCAAACATCCACAGTTTCTCTTTCTCTCTCATATATGGATATGCACATGCACACAGGCGTGCATACCAGTCTAGCACCAGCTGGGATGCCCCTGTGATTGCCGCTGTGTCACATTTACGTAAGCTAGAGGAAAATACCCAGTGTTCCTTGCTGGTAACCGGAAGTGTACATTCATCACAGATTAACTGAAGCTTCTGTAGCAACGTTATCAAAGTGAATCTACATGGAAGGAACCTCATCCTGTCCAAAATTAATACTGAAACTGCTCAATTGACTGAGATTCATGTGTTCCACTTGAGCAGTTGTGTAATGGTGTTGAGAGTTCACTCAGGTTGTCCCCAGCTGCAACACCATTGCCACTCTCTGCATATTTGCCTTGCATGACTGCACGCCTAAACGGTGACCTAATCTGTTTGGAATGTGGCTGTGCCCTGCGGGGGGAGAGGGGGGAGGGGGGGGAGAAGGCCTAACAGGATGAAAGGAACCTGCTCTACCAAAACACTATTGGTTTCGTCATGGGAAAGGGCCAGACATTTCAATGGGGGAACTGGGTGGCCCACTTTTTTTTTTTCCCCCTCTCTCTTTCTCTGTCCCTCTCTGTCTCTCTCTCTGTTTCACTCTTGCTCTCCGCTGTTTTAAAGGGCCTTGTTCTGGACAAAACACGGCCTATGTGTGGAGCTCATTGTTCATTCATTCAAATGCTATTTATGTTTACAAGACACAGAGGCAGAACTTGAAGCATTCCGATCATTCCCAGCTGAATGCTGCAGCTGACTGTGCATTAAGGCTCATTCGCCTGCCGCTGATACATTTATGATGCTGTAAAGGTGAGCCCTGTATGCCTGGTCCCCTGTGCCTGAAGGTGTTTGTGTTTTTCGTTTACAGGTGAGAAGCCGTACAGGTGTTCGTGGGAAGGCTGTGAGTGGCGTTTTGCGCGCAGCGATGAGCTAACCCGGCACTTCAGGAAGCACACGGGTGCAAAGCCATTTAAATGCAGTCACTGTGACAGGTATGCTCTTCTTCTGTATCTCTGTCTCTCTCGCTCTCTCTCTCTCTCTCTCTATCTCACTGTCTTGTTCTCTCGGTCTCGCTCTTCCTCCTCTGTGACACAGAGAATTCTGACAGTTATCGCAGCACGTCTGTCTTTTTACCGGCTGCCTGTGCCTTTGATGTGCGCAGCTAGTGAAAATACAATAGATTTCGCATTCGCCGCATTGATTCCTTTTATCTGTTCATCGATGGCAGTCGTCACATTATGCTTGGATTTCATCACTTAATTGCCTAATCGGATTAAATGCTTGAAAGAGCAATGGCAACAGTATCGTATTTCCAGAATATTGATATCGACTGGGGTTTTTTTGAGCAAATGCGCCGAGTATTCAAACAGAGGCACAATGCGTCCCTCCGTTCTCTGCCGTGCTTTTAAAAGACTCGTTGTCCGCTCGACTTCTGTTTTCGGCGCTGGTTGTTTGTTCCCTGTTTGGCTAATGAAAACATGCAGCAACATAAGACACTGAAGAAGTTTACCTTTCATTTGGTTCCTATTTTATAGCTGTACATGTACATGATAGGCCGAAAACTCGTATCAGTGCGTGGGGGGCGTTCTTGATCTATTCTGGTAGCTCAATCTGTTTCTTTAAATTATTTTATGGATGTGTGGAGCTTTATTTACAGCAGATGTTGTCAGAAAGCATGTTTAGCAATCTAGCGCCTAATGATCAAGCCTAGGACGGCATCCTGTTTATTGTAGTTGCTGCTGCACAGAGTATCAGAAAGCACACTTTCCTCTTTACTGCATACATGCTAAAAAGAGTTCAATGGAGTGATGCCATAGAAGAACCACTTTTGGTTCCCTAAAGCATTTTTCAGAGAATAGCTATTTAAAGAAATGGAATGTGCAACTGTGATGAACCTTCTAAGCCTAAAGAACTTCCACATCTACACCAATTTGAAGGTAACACTCTCTTTTCTCCTCTGCCTTTTTTCCAGGTGTTTCTCCAGGTCAGACCACCTGGCCCTGCACATGAAGAGGCACCTCTAAAGCAGGTTGTGTCCGTGCGCCGTGTGGGGATATGTTCATTTGTATCCTGACCAGCCTCCTGGTTGACCTGCCCTTTTGTTTAAGGGAGGGTAGTGGAGTGTTCCAGCCAAAGCATGCCATTTTGCACCGAATCCTGTGCCTCCGGGTCCCTCGGGAGAAAGGCCTACTGACTGGTTGTGGAAAAAAAAAGAAAAGAAAGAAGAGGACAAGACAAAATCATGCGCGAAGAAGCGATAAATGAAGGACTTTAAAAATAAAAAAAAAGAATATTTACAAAAAAAGAGAGGAAAAAATCAGACAAAAACAACAAACGAATGAATGAATGGTGTGTGTTGTATGGTGCATGTTTTGGGACAACTCCTGGACAACCAATACACTGGTACTTATTAAAAAAAAGCCTGTCTGAGGGTGAACGAATGCGGTCGCTGAGTGTGAGGGTGACTGTTTGGTGCGTGAGTTGAGGAAAAGGCTGGGATGGGGGGCTACCAGTGTGTCGCTGCAGACTGAGTGATGTTGGGGGGGGAATCAAGTTCCGTTTTTTGTTCTGTGAGGGGAAAAAAAGTGTGTCTGCTTGTCAGTGTGGAAGCAGGGACTCTTGCCAAACCCCCCCAGGCTTTGTATCACAAAGGGGACGAGGAGGTTTTGGTTACTTCTAAACCCACCCACCCATACAAAACCCCCTTTTTAGAGGGTCTGCAGAGTTCCCGGCCCTGAATGAAAGTGGCTTTTTGGTGTTTGGTGCAGCTACTAAATGTGCAATGTGTTCAGTAGCTTGTTTTCTCGACAAGCTACAAAAAAAGCTCTTTTGTTGTCCATTGTATAAGCTGTGTGCTTAGAGATAAAAACACAAAAACTATAACTTCACTATCATAGACAGGTGTTGCATGGTATTAGGGTTTGTACTCCTTTTTTTCCTGTTCTTTGTTATCAGGACTGCTAATAGATTCCAATAAAGTGCAGCTAAATACGAATGGTTAAATGTTACAATATTGTACATAAATGGATTGATGATTCTTCTCTTTAAATCCCCCCCTGCTTATGCCTTTTTTTTCTTTTTTTTGCGAGGGAAAACCACTATTGCTTAGCTTTTTCTTTTTAGTCACAAATCTGTTTTTTTCCCCTTCCACTCTGTTCAGTTCTCTCTCTCTTTCTCTCCATTTTTACCTGTTATTAATGCACTGTTGACCTTAATGGTGCCTTATGCAAGTGACCTTGTCCTGTGGAATAGATTGGTCCTTGGGGGTCACACAATGTCTTGTATGAGTGATCGAAATAGCTTTATTAAGGCTCCATTTCCAATGAAAATGCACCTTTCTTTTTTTCGGAAAAGGCCACTCCGACCGAACCCTAACAGAACTGTAGCTTCAGGACAACTTTCGTTCACTCAGATTACATTTAAACCTAAATATGTAGTAAGATAGCAAAGTCTATAAGAGTCACCATGCAAAGCACTTAAAACAACAGCTTTTTATTTGTTTACTACCATGTAATATCTAATGAATACTAGAGAGGTCTATTTGAATGGTACAAAAAAAAAAAGTGGAATCTGTCAAAACCACAAAAACTGGTCTGGTCATTGCGTAACAAGGCTGGAGGAGAATGGGGGTAAAATGACGCAGCTGCTCTGACAGGCGTTTGGCAGTGAGTTTTAGAAGACCGGGCCTGTATCCCCTGCAACCAGGACGGAGGAAAAAACCTAAAGATTTATTGTAATTAACAAGCCCTAGCAGGACAGGCCTCGCCTTGTACTGCATCTGTGTAATGAATTACTAAAGGCTTTGCTGGCATAGACTCTGCCACAGACTGCTGACTCTGGCAGTTTGCTATTGACCTGTCTGGATGGCGTTGTTTTAGCCCAGCAACAGTATTATGGAAACAGAGAACAGGCGTCCAGAAAGATAAAGATAAATCGCTTCTTTTCAGCCCGTACAATGTACATTTACAGACGTGGAATCGAAGCCTTTGGGCTGGCAGACAGGTTCGCTGGCTGTTCGTGTGCATTGTAAGCATTTTGTGAGAGTTTTATTCTTTATTTCTTTGGCCGAGGATGAATCAGATCTATAGACGCAAATATCGAAATACATTCTGTAAAAGAGTCGAGTCTGACACAGCAGACAGTAACTCTCTTTATCAGGGAAGTGCTGTACTTTGTCTAGAGAGTGGAAGAGCAGCAGTGCTCCATGGATTTCAGATCAGATTGGAGCTGTAGGAGGATCAGCATGAAGAAGCTTGCTGCTACAAAATCAGAGCCAGCAAGGCTTTCTGTGGGCAAAGAGAACAGTACATCCTGTCTACGAAACAGTGGCCAACATCATTCAAGCGGCAATAGAGCCTTAATGAAAGCCTCCCATTTTGCTTGTAACTATAACTGACGCTTTCTATCACTCTTTTCTCTCACAGTTTCCCCTGTTGTCTATTATAGAATATTTGTAAGAAATTGAAAAGAAAGAAAAGTTAAAAATGAAATACAAAAAAAAAACATTTTCTAAGATTTTTATTTGTTCTTGCTTTATATAAATTTTATTTGAAATTGTTTTGCAAAATTGTTCTATTTCTGTATGAATGTATTTTTTATTGGAATAATAAGAAATTCTTATCAGACATCATTTGCTTCGTTGTTTTGCCTCATTTCCTTTCAGCACTGCTTCTAGACGTTTGGAGGACTGCCAATGTAGTACTAACCCATACAAATAATAACATAATATCTTGGAAATATATTCTACTGATATTTTGGAATATACTTACAACATACTCTTCTGTTCAAAAGTAACAATTGCTGTTCCTTTAATTAAACATATACAAAGTATATTGAAAAACTACATCCTAAACACCAGATGGTATTTTAATACATATTTCAAGACTGTATGAAATGATAAATAATACACAGTAATTATATATTTACAGTCATTTCTTGATATGCTCCAGAGTCGATCACCACTTTTCAAATGCAACGCATTCTGAATACAAGTGATACCTAGGATTTGTTGGATGCCTTCAGGATTCCCAAAGGTTGTATTGGTGCAATGCATGCTGGATAATGTAGTGCAATAACTAACTGACAAAAATACAAAACTGATACAACATCATGAATTCTGTCAAACTGGTGAAGAGTGCTTAACTACAGAACACAGCCTAACATTACAAATAACATTGAACATTTAAATACTATGAAATACATCAATATAGAAAGTTTAGACATTGTTTTTCTTAATATTCATTACTGAAAATAAAAAACATCACATGGATAGATTTGATTGATAGACACTGGTTGATTTGGTCATCTTTTATGCAACAGAACAGATGCAATACTCACATCTGTGGTACGCGAGTGAAGTCTTTCACAGATCAGCCAAAAATAGAGAAACTCTTCACCGAGGAAGATGGTAAATTGCACCCTCTGAGAATCCATCTGCTAAAAGAAGAAACCTGACCCAGCTAAACTTTGCCAGGGTTAGCGCTGGAATGTTTTGCCAAGGTTTGGCCACTTCCCCAAAACATTGAAATAAAAAAAACAAAAAAAAACAAGGTTCAGCCTTCTGGTTTCTGCTTTTCCCTGCAGTCAACACTTGCACCAGTTGCGATCAAAGCCCTGCAAATTACCCATCAGCAAACCAAGGCTGCCTTTGGCACTTCATTAGCATCATGTATTTACATGGCTGTTAGATGATTATTTGATACAAATAAGATAATGTTCCCCATTGCACACTAATCAAAAGGCCTGTGCAGATTTATTTAATTACCAAAATATGAGGCCTATGAATTAGGTACTGCATGCAAAAACCGTTTTCTTACTGTAAGGGTAATTTTATAATCGGTAGATTAGCTAGTATTAGCAGTAATCTTGTTCGATTATTGTTTACGCCAGGGGACAGCATGGTTGTTGGTTAGTATTGTGGTAATATAGATGATGCAGCAACAGTAAGAGAACTTCTATGCTCAGCTTAGCCTTCCTCTTACAGTCTCAGTCTGCTAGTAGCTGAGACATTGTTATGCAGCACCAGATAGTTGCGTAGATACATCAAACCCTTAAAGGTCAAGTAGTCCCAAATCAATCATTAAACATAAGAGAATTCCAGCCCACGCTTGATGATGTACTGTAGTGAGGTGGTGTAAAATTTTATATCAGTCTATCCATGTCTCCAGCGATTATTCCTAATGGTAATAAAAACAGCATAGCAAGTAGCCTGCAAAAGGAACCACTTTTCATGTATTGCCGCATATTTTTGCAGATTTACAAGCCACATACTTTCCCACATTTGTCTTGGGAATGCCCGAAATCCTGGATTACCCTTTGCAGATAAATCACCTTCAACCATACTACACACTCCTTAACCCAATGTACATTAATAACGATAGGCCGCCGTGCCTTTTCACCTCATCGTAATTCAGAGCCTAACGTGGAATCCGGGCAGTGCCCTCCACAAAAGCAACAGTGACCTTTGCATGCAGACTGAGAACAGCTAGGCAAGTCTCATCATATTTGGTGCCTTGTATTTTTTTGATAAGTCCAAAGGTGAGCTGTGGTGCAGAGCATGTCGAAATTAAAGGCAATGTCACAGCATCAAAGCATGTCTTTGCCAGAGGGCAATGGGTGGGTGAGAAAGCGCTGCGTTTGAAGCGCTGGTAGTTAAGAAAGGGGGAATATGTAAAGAAAGAAAAAGTGAGAGCACTGTTTATCCAGTGTGTCTAAGTCTGAAATGACTAACTAATCGTCGTTCCATCTCGAAACGATGTACATATTTGAAACAAATAACTTAAAAACTATTTTTTTCAGTGTGTGAAAATGAAATGTTTTGTTACATTTTATCAGTACATTTCAAGTATGGAATATATTTTCCAAAGTCTATTTTTTGTGTGGGTGTATTTTTTTGATCTACTGATCACACAGCTTTGTTAGGCATCAAAGAACGCTTTGAGAAAAATGGTAAATGCTGTGTGATGAGCTCATAGGCATTTTTTCACTGCAGTACTGGAGTACTGGAACCTTTGGCACCAGAAAACTGGAACTGTGCTTTTTCCATTGTTATCAGTCCAGATGTTTCCAGATGTTTCTGGTACCTGATCAGGATTGGTACCAACAGCGAATTCTTTACTCTTCCAGATAATAAAGTCACCAAGTACCATTATATGAGCAGAAAATGCACCAGAATGTAACCAAGAATGGTGTGTTGATACGTCAAATTTTTGTAAAGATTCTCTAAGGTGACACAGGACAGTTTAGAAGCTAACACTAAGGATATTATCGTTTATGCTAGTCTCCACATAGTGAGTGTTTTTGCTCATATTTTCACACTTCACAGAGAAAAAAAAATTATTGTACACATGATTTTGTGTAACTCTAAGAGAGAAAAATAGGCTTTTTTTGATTCTACATGAGCCTGTGTAAATTTAGACATTTCCCTAGGTGTGTGCAGCATAGCAAGTCAGCAAATAAGCTAACTAGCAAGCTACTTTGCCAAAAATGTGCAAAAAAATCAGATAAACAAATGAATGTCACATCTATGTGAAAACATGTCACATGCTTCCACATATTTGCATGAAGGAACCAGCTATAAAACATTCTCAAGGACCACTAATGGAACATTCTCAAAGACCACTAATGATACATGGTTCAGCTGAGATTTGAACCTGGACCTGTGCCTTAGGCTTTCTCCGAATTTGTGCCCATTCAGTGAGAAGAGCATTTGTGAGGTCAGGCACTGATTTTGGATGTGGAGCTCTGGCTCACAATCGACTTTCCAGTTCATCACAAAGGTGTTCAGTGGGTTTGAGGTCAGGGCTCTGTGAAGGCCACAGGAGTTGCTCCACACCAAACTCGTCAAACCATGTCTTTAAGGACCTCGCTTTGTGCACAGAGGCACGGTCATGCTGGAACAGGGAAGGGTCTTCCTCGAACTTTTGCTACAAAGCTGGAGGCATATAATTAGGCATTAACATTGCCCATCACTGGAACTGAGGGGCCCGAACACTGACCACTATCCCTTTTCCACCAAACTTTTCTTTTACTATTCATATGGGTAAGTAGCGTTCTTCTGGCATCTGTCAAACCCAGGTTCATCCATCAGACTGACAGATAGTGTTGCCTGATTCATCACTCCAAAGAACACGTTTCCACTGCTCAAGAGTCCAGGGGTGGTGTATTATGCACCACTCCAGACAAAGCTTGGCAATGTGCATAATGATCTTAGTCTTGTGTGCAGCTGCTCAGCCATGGAAACCTATTTCATGAAGCTTCTGACACAGATTTCTTGTGCTGGTGTTGCTTTCAAAGGCAGTTTGGAACTCTGTAGTAAAGCAGAGGATAGGAGATTTTTACATGCTACATTCTGCAGTACTCCTCTGTATGGGTTTGTGTGGTCTACCGCTTCATGACTGAGCTGTTGTTGCTTCTTGATTGTTCCATTTTCCAGTAATAGTACTTACAGTTGACCAGAGCAGACCTAGCAGGGCAAAAGTTTTACAAACTGATTTGTAGCAAAGGTGGTGTCCTATGACAGTGCCTTGTTTAAAGGCACCGATCTTTTTAGTATGACCCATTCTTCTGCCAGTTTTCATTAATTATGAAGGTCATCCACATACTTTTGGCCATACAGTGTAACTTACATTTGTTTGCATTAGTTTGATTGTTTACATTTCAGCTGTGAGTGTATCATAGGTCCTTGGTAACAGGCAATAATTGATTATCAACTATGAGTAGTTTAGGATTTCTTAAGGTAGAATAAGATGCTGTAAGATACGATCTAATTCCTATATCTTATCTTGACCTTGTCAGATCTAAACTTAGGACTAAAGATAAGAAGTTCCTGTAATATGTGCAATACTATGAATCCAAACAAAATGGCTCACTTAAAGCTCAGGAATTTGCATGAATCAGGTTTGAGTCAGATTTGATAAGAAGGAAAGCAAGGGGCGAAAGCACCACAGTGTAAGTATAATGTTACCACATTATCATCAGTGCACACTGTGACTCAATATTTACGAGCCAGGATCATGATCATTATCATCCTTGTGTTTTGTCTGTGTCCCATCCATTCATTAAAAACAAATATTTTTAAAAGGACTATCAAGGTTCCAAAGTGGATGCTTCACCCAATTAGCAAGCTGCAATTAGCGCTGATGAACACTGGAAAAAAAGAAAAATAATAAAAGGAGGGAGGGAAAAAAAAAAGATCTGAGCATTTGGCAGAAAGAGTCTTGGGTGATTAGACACTTCTGGGCCCAGAAATGCAAGCAGAAGCAGTGCACTCTTCCTTTCAACACAGATTAATTTCCATCACAACAAACTAGAAAGGCTTTAATGGCTCATTTTGAACATGGAGACAGAGCCCTCAGAGATGCCGGCTCCCTTCGAGCCGCGAGCAAACATGAGAATTACAGAGATTTGTTGGTAGTTTTTCGTTTGGAAAAAAATCACTCTGATGGCCAAAGCGTCCTTTTGCCCTCTCTTTTGTGGCATCGTTTAAGTTGACCTTGTCACGTGACTCCTGGACACTAGAGGCCAAGCCTGGGTCATCTGCCCACTGACCCCTGTGCGACTTCCATTCACATGGTGTAATTGTGTGGTGACGTCTTTCGTCTGCTGAACTGACTGATGACCTTGT